ACTTCGCACGTTCGTCCAGTCTTAGAATATGGCCTGCCATCTATCCAACTGCTATCAAACTTTGAGTGCGCTATGTTGGAAAAGGTTCAGCGACTTGCATCGAAAGCTGTTTTGGGGCTACGTCACCTCCCGTACACCACACGGTTCCCGCAGCTAAACCGGTTCGAGGCACACCATGGTTCTGGTTGGTTCTCTAGGTTGGATCTTGCATGTGGTTACTGGCAAGTAGACGTAAGACACAAGGACCGTGAGAAAACAACCTTCAGCTTTCCCAACGGTCTATATAAATTCGAAACTATGGTTTTTGGTCTGGTTAATGCTCCTGCTAGGTTTCAGAGACTAATGCAGAAAGCCCTGGAGGGGCTACCACCTGGTACCTGATAATTTATTTGGACCACATAGTCGTTTTTGGGTGTTGGATTGAGGAGCATAGCCGGCGGCTTTGCCCCGTAGAGGATCGGCTGCAAGTGACGGGTTTGAAACTACGGAGTCCAAACTGTTAGTTGCTCCTGGGTGGTGTTAACTACTTGGGGCACATTTTCTCCCACGATGGTGTGAGGACCGACCCCACCAAACGTGAAAAAGTTACTTCCGAGCCAAAACCTAAAACGACAGCAGGTTGCGAAGTTTCTTAGGATTGGCTTCGTACTATCGTCAGTTTATTTTTAGTTTTGCGGCCATCTCAGCTCCCTACATCGTTCAACTGAGAAGGGACGAAATTCTGCTATACTAACGAACGTCCGAATGCTTTTGCAGAGTAGAAAGGTTATCTTATGACACACCAATCGGCCCTCCCTGACACCTCACCAGGGTCGGGAGCTTTTTTGTTGGGTACAGATGCGAGCGTTGAAGCGATCGGCGCTGCTTCATGCCAGAGAACTCCGGTCTGCGAAGTTGTGTTCTCCTACGCTCATCGCCGCGTAGATAACCGCCAGAGGAAGTACAGCACCGCACGACAGAAACTACTGACGCTGGTTAGCTTTTTGCGATATTTTAGGTCGTACCTATTTGGAAAGTCATTTCAGGTTCGCTCTGATCACCAGTCACTTCAGTGGTTAAAATCTTTCATCGGCCGGAGGGTCAGACAACAAGACGGCAGGAAGAGCTTCAAGAATACGATTTTACCTGCGAATATTGTCCCGAGACATGACACTAATGTAGATGCACTGTCAAGACTAGGGAGATCCGAACTGGTTACTTCGACTTGCACAACCCCAGTGCCCAGTATTGCGTGAACCAAAGAGTAAGCTTGTGAGCTATACGTAGCTAACACCTACAACAGACGGCTGTACATCTCTTCGAAATCCACTGGAATTGAAATTCGTAAGCGTACCTAAGAAAAGCGCTCCATACTCGGGCACAGGAAGGACTTGTGAATCATGGACGGTGTGCTGCATCGCCTTGAAAAATCCGGTCCGAAAATGCCTACTCCGATTACCCGATCTCTTGAAATACTACAAATGTTCATCAACAATTTGGCCATTCCGATCAGTTGAAATCGGAGACTGCAGTTCGTCAACAGCACTGTTAGCTGGACATGCACGCCGATTTCGTTCAATGTTGTGCGTCATGTTAACTCTGTACTACTTTGAAACCAATGGTGCCTGTCCCTAGTGCTCTTTTGGAATCTATAGTCACTTCTGCACCAGTGCAATGTATTGAAGTATATATCATTGGTCCTGTGCCGATAACAAGGGCGACAACTGCTTCATACTACTTAGGATAAATTAGTTCACGAAGTGGTGAGAGGCACTACTTAGTAGATGCCAAAATGCATCGTTAACGAGCGGGTGGCTCGTTACGGCGCACCCATATCCTTGCACTCCGTTCAGGGCACCGATTTTGAGAGTCGTGTAATGTAAGAAATGTGCCGTCTGCTTGCCACTAACAAGACGCAAACTACGCCGTTTCATCCACAAGGAAATGGACTCGTTGAGCGGACCAACTGGACTAGCAAGGCTATCTTACAGGGTCCCATCCAATGCCATCAGTCTAATTAGTGTGAGGAAGCATTGCCAAAATGAATGCTTGCCTATTGGGCCTCGGTGTACCCTCCAATCGGCTATTCGCCAGTTTACCTTACTCTCAGCCGTGAGATTCGTTTACGTCTTGAATTACCATCACCTGTCTGCCTGGTTGAAGCTTGCT